AGACTCTTGTTCAAGCAAAACAACTTATTGAAGACTCAAGTGATTCGAGTTCTCTGAATTGAATGATTGCTTGTATGAAGATGGAGATGATGTTTTATAATTTCATTTGGTAGAAAAAGAATTTGTTGTAGAGCAATTTATTAATTGAATAATAAATAGGGATTAGAAAGAAAATAGGACACATTTTCTTTTTCGGCCACGGTTTCTGTTAGTTTACGAACGTTTAAGTAATAAAAAACTAACGTTACAGTGATAGTCACCATTAAATAACAGTATAATCACTATCAACTACCGATAACAATAGTAGTATCAGCTACCGTTAACTAACGGTGACTGCAACGTCAACTAACAGAGTCAACTAACCATAAAAAAAGTTATCATCACTGTTAACAAATCGTGACCTGCACCGTTTCTGTTATCTCATCGTTGTTGCTATATCACCCATTCTAGGCCTTGGAAAGAGGACTATATGTATGAAAAGGGTTTGTAAAATTATTAAAGAGAATTAACTAAGGGTTTAATTATGATCAACAAATCTCTTCTCTAAAAGATATTGTAAAACCCGTTTTTAATCCTAATATATATTACATATTCTTTGTGATTTATGGAAGGGGATTTCTGTTTGTTTTTAAAAGTTTTATTGGGAGTGAAATTGAAAGAAATGGAAGCTGCTGGGTATGCACGTAACAAGGGGGTAAACTCTGGAGGTTTTTGTAAGGGAAAGATGATGTGGCGGGGTTATTGTGAGAATAATAATATTTCAGGGGCATGTTTTCAATTTCAGAAAAACTGGTTTATAAAAAAAAGGGGACTGTTCGCCAAATGAAGATGAAGAGACAAAAGAAAAGAAAATGGAGAGAAGAGAAGCAGAGCTGACCGAGATGAAGTGAAGAAGGAAAATGAAGGTGTAGTAAAAATGGCGATCAAGAGTAATAGAGAGAGATCATGCCAATTTGAATTTTGGCTAAGCTGAACAGTGAACGGATCTAAACTATTTTCCTTAAAAACCTAAATTATGCCTTTGCATGTCAATGTTTTTTACTACCGTTCATGTGTTCTTGCAAAAATCTTTACTAAGCATGATGTTTATGAGATATTGATTCTATGTTGCTTTCGGCTGGGTGTGTTAAGATGTGTTGGTTGTGTTGGCTACTGAAATCCTGCTGTAAAGTTGAAAGTTTGTTGGTTTATGTTGCTACGTTTCTTCGGCTGAATGCTTGACAATGTGTTGTTTGAAAATAGTTTGCTGGAAATTTGATTGAGTATGAAGCTTGCTAAAACTTTATTTTTGCATGTCTCAGTTGAGCCATTTTTTTGTGTGAAATTGCATCAGATCTGGTTAATTTGAGGCGTATATGACTTGTAGAGAGGAGTTTGGGTTCGGCCCTGGGAAAGTTACGGGGAAGAATTCATAGAGTGCAATTTTCTTTTGTTTTAGTAAAAGGGAAAATGATAGAATGTTGGCTTGTTAAAATGGTTGAATGGGTATGTTCATTTGGAGAAGAATTATTGATAAAACACATACATATTCCCTGTTCATTTGATAACACAATCAATTTCAGTTTAAAATCTCCATGGAATACATGCGGAAGTAAATGACAAACCTCCAGCCATAGCAATTACTTCTTTGATCTTCTTGCTCCTTTATGAATTACAAGATCTTCCACTGACTGCAATTTTGGGTGATGGTTTTGGGAATCAAAAATTAAAACTGCATCAATGGGGACCTGTAAACTTCTCTTTCTTATATGCAGTTGTCTTTCCATCAAAGACAACTGCTCAAGAGACACAACCGTATGACCACATCAATAGGGACCAAAATGTAATTATATGAGAAGTGTAGGACCATATTGTAAAAAGTCTAACAATTATCACATAGATTATTTAATTCATTTTTTCTTCACTTGGTTTTATATATATATGCATTGGTGTGTTTTGGTTCTCAAAGTTTGGTTGCCAGTTGAATTTAAAAAAGTTTTGCTTTTTAGACTGTTTTTCCCTTAGGTTCACAGGAAGATGGTGTCGAGGAGTGATTCCTCTTGAGGTTGGGCCGAACTTCATCGACTCACCATGTGTGTAAAGATGTCACATTTTGTTTTCATTGTAGAATTATGTTTTATTTCATATGTTTGTCTCACGCTTGATTGAAAATGATATGAGGATTTGATATCATCCGTTTTTGGATTCTACAAAACGTATGTGTCTATGTTTTTCAAGACGACACCAAGAGAATTTTTTTTTTTTTTTAATGAAAAATGTCTTCATAATACAGGTTTTCAAATTTCCACATGGCATATCTCAGTCACCTGAGTCTCATGAGTGCAGATGGTCATTGATAAACATCTGTTTCTTTTGTTGGATTTTAAGTACCTTGGCTTGAGAGAAATAACAACAGTAAGTTTAGACAAGAACTTGGAATATAGGATTTTTAACATTTTGATAGTTAGAATTTCAATAATATATGGAAAATTAAAAGTTAGGGATTGCAGGAGCTATCTCCTGTTTCTCGGAAAAGTATGAAGTTCTATATATGTTATATGAGTGATAACAATGTACACAAATTCTGTACACTGACTATTCATGTAAAAACTCATGCGTCATAAAAAGTGTATTTAGTATATTATTCCTCCTGTAACTATTGGGAAAGTTTAATAATAATCTTTGCAAAACTTGTAATCTATAAGAAAATGTGCGACACGCAATGTGGACCTTGGTACCAGACAGCCTTGGTTTGCCGCCATGGGAGCATAGAAAATTCTCACTAATATTTCCTGGAATCAAAGAAAGTAATCAATAACTGCTTCATAATTAATGCACAAATCCATTCTGAAGCATAAGAAGTTGTCAATGATATCCATAAATATTATCATGGTACCATTTATCACAATCCTTAATCAATTTCCATGTCCCTTATCTTATTCAATTCAAGGCCCCGTGTGGGTAGGATTTAGGACCTTTTTGACGTTAATTTAGGATTTGAGTGCTTGACTAAGTCCCTTTTTGACGTGGTTCTAAATAATTTAAATAATAAAGTTAAAGTAGTATGAGACTGAGAAAAAACATTTACCTTTTGACGCCCATTAGTCATGGATTCAAGTCTCTGCGGCCACTTTGTGAGACATGAGAACCCCACTTTTTGTTCCTTTTGACTCAATGAAGTTTGCTAAGGAACGTAACATTTATGAGAGGTTTTTGAAAAATTCAAGTTTAGTTTTATCTTAGTAGTTACTGCCATTTCTATTCTATTCATGATCATATCCGTTTTTGAGATTTAATGCAGAAAAAGGGGTGGATTAACTTCATTAATTTCTACATAAGATATCTTCATCAGCCTCAATTAAGTCCAGTAAATAATAGGATTCTATATTTTAGTTGCTTTGGCACCACTTGGAAAATGACATTTCCAATCTATAAGAAGTCTACGGGTGACCTCCATTTCTCTTCATTCATCATAAAGAATGATGAGTTTTCTGACATGGTCTTATCAAGTTCTCTTCCTCCAACTATTGCTCTTTTAATCTCAAACTTGTGCAAAACTCTGCTCTCATGAAAATGGCATGACGAAAGCATACTAATTTGCTTCAAGTTCATCAAAGGATCCTTAGTAATTCACATAATTATTGATTGACGTATGACTATATATGAATCCACAAATTACAGTGAACAAAATTGATCTTTTGTAGAACCAGTTGTCATCACATTCTTTTGCGGTAGAATGCCCTGTTTTTGGCAATGCAGGGGCAGGAGCACTCATCATTCACAATCTTCAAAATTTTAAGTTCATAAACAATTTACAGTCATAGGAGACCAAGACTTATAATTAAATTATTGGAGAAGTCCCGTAGCCCCGATCCACACTGCAAGAGCTAAAGAACAAGCTATCATTCTCAAGTTATGTAAACCATAATTGTCAATGACTCCAGCAGAGAATGAAAAAAGAATGGATGTGACAAGTGTTCTTTTTTATCTATGATATATGTAACAAAGTGGAAGTGGAGATAATGACATTTTTGCTTTGGAGCCAGTAGACCAAGACTTTATAGACGCTAATCAAATTATGGGACAAATTTAACATTGAAGAAAAATATGTTGTGAAACCATATTATAAGAAATTGTTCATCTTTCAAAGAAGAAAATTACGCGCTAATCAAGGCTTTATACACGCTAATCCCAAAAGAAGAAAATTACCGCAAAGAAAGTGACTCAAGCTCTCAATATCATTTTTATATGTAAAACAATCAGTGCATGCGAATCAAGTCAAAAAGTGAGATTGAAAAATTAGCGTAGAAATTATTGTTTTCTAGTTAGTAGACCAAGTCTTCCAATTAAATCACTAGAGAAGTCTTGTAGCCCGTTCCACACTGCAAGACCTAAAGAACAAGCTATCATTCTCAATATATGTAAACCATAATTGTTGATTGATTTCAGCCATGTAAATATCATGTCTCATTGTGTGGTGTGATCTTATTTCTATGTTATTAATACGTGTTCCGCTATGCCATCTCCTAACACGTTCATCACGTTTTGAAACTTAAACTGGTGACATTTAAAGCACCCAATTGGAAACACAATTTATGCTTAATGTCTCTAAACAATTTCTAAGATGCTCAAGCTAAAATTGTGGCTGCATGGTCTTAATCCTAGATTTTTTGTTCCGCAATTTTTGAAATGCAAAACATAAGTGAGTTACCACTTGATGTACACCCCATTTTTGAAATGCAATGACCTTCAACTAGATTGCATGTAGTGCCTGATATGAACTTTAAGAGATCACGACTTAAAGAAAATTATTAAAGGATATTTCCTATTACAACTAGATTGATTTTTTTCTCACTATTGAATAGGAACTGTGAATGATTTTTCCAGTCAACGATTAACACATTCCTCCGTTCCCACATTAAATGGAATCTGATCTGCAAATTGTCTTTCCTTCTCTTTTTATTTATCTATATAATACATAGACATTTCATCCTCGCTTCTCATCTCTCAACACAATTTTAAGCAGTTTCTGTTTTCTTTTATTTCCAGCGAAAAACATGTGGAGTTTATCATGGCACAATCTACTCCCCTGCCTCCTCTTCATGTACTTGAATTTTCAAGTTATTTTCTCTTTGCCTATTAATTCTTCTTCTCCTTCTGCAAAACTTTGCTCCCCTGAACAAAGGCTGGCCTTACTCCATTTTAAGAGTACCTTTACAATTCATAAGAATAATCATTCTTGTGAAGAACATTCTTATCCTAAGACATACTCTTGGAAAGAGAGTACTGATTGCTGCTCATGGGATGGAGTCACTTGTGACAGCTTCACAGGTCAAGTAATTGGCCTTGATCTTTCTTCTAGTTGGATCCGTGGTGCTGTCTTTGACAACAGTAGTCTCTTCCTCCTTCACCATCTCCGGAAGCTCAATCTAGCTTGTAATGATTTAAGCGGATCCACTATCTCATCCAAGTTTGGTCAGTTTATGAAACTGACACATCTTAACCTTTCTTTCTCCGGTTTCTATGGCCTAATACCTACTGAAATCTATCACCTAGCAGAACTTGTTTCAATTGATCTTTCTGTTAAATTTGGCGATAGATTACCAGAACTCAGCCAGCATGTTTTCAATAAGCAATTGCAGAATCTAACAAAATTAAGACATCTTCATCTTGATGGTGTGAATATGTCTTCAGTTGCTCCTGGCTCCTTGGTGAACCTGTCTTCAACTCTGATATCTCTTGTTATCAGCAATACAAGCCTGCAAGGCGACTTCCCAGAAGACATTTTCCGCTTTCCATTCCTCCAAAAGTTGAGTTTAACCGGAAATGGAAATCTAACAGGTACTTTACCAAAGTATAATTGGAGCTCTTCACTGAGATTATTGGATCTCTCCGAGACAAGTTTCTCAGGCAAGTTACCTGACACAATCGGCAACCTTATAAACTTGAATGTTTTGGATCTCTCTCTTACAAGTTTCTCAGGAAAGTTACCTGACACAATCGGCAACCTTATATACCTGAATGTTTTGGATCTATCTTTTACAATTTTCTCAGGAAAATTGCCTGACAAAATTGGCAATCTTGGGTACTTGAATGTATTGGATCTTTCTGACAGTGAATTCGAAGGGTCGATTCCAAAATCACTTTGGAATTGCATGAAAATAATTTCTTTGGATTTGTCATTCAATAGATTCAATGGCCAAGTCGCAGCATCACTATCTAAACTTAGTCAGCTTACAAGTTTAAATCTGAGAGGGAACAATTTTGAAGGAAAGTTTCCAGATGTTTTTGGCAACCTCGGCGAATTAACTGATCTAGATCTTTCATTGAACAATTTCAGTGGTCAGTTGCCGTCTTCAGCATTCAACCTCTCACATCTTTCTGTTTTAGACTTTTCCGAAAATCAAGTTGAAGGTCATATTCCATTTCAAGTAAGTGGTCTTTCAAATCTAATTTCTCTCAAGATGTCTAATAATTTTCTTGCTGGAAGAGTACCATCTTGGTTGTTTACTCTGCCATCTTTAGAGACATTAGACCTTAGTGATAACAAACTCACAGGTCCAATTGAGGAGTTCCATCCGCCTGGTTCAGTGAAAAATGTTTATTTGATGAATAACGAGATTCAAGGTTCAATTCCAAATTCCATGTTTGAACTCTCAAAGCTTAGAACCCTCGACCTTTCTTACAACACCTTACTGTCATTTGTTAATCAGAAAAATGAAACCTTTACGTTTCCCAGCCTTCAGAGGTTCAGTTGCTCTTCTTGCAACATAACTGAATTCCCTAATTTCTTAAGAACCTCAAAAACCTTGAAAATCTTAGACCTTTCAAACAATAGAATTCATGGCCAAATTATTCAATGGGAATTTGAATTGTTTCACAATTTGTACTATTTGAATCTCTCTCACAATTTTCTTACAAGTTTCTTCCCTTCTGGAAAAACTTCAAATATGAATCTAGTGGTTCTTGACCTTCACTCCAATTTCCTCGAGGGCCCACTTGTGATTTTAGATGCACCAGGTATGGACACCTTATTACTTTCCGACAACATGTTGACGGGAGAGATCTCTTCGTCAATTTGCAACTTAAGCTGTATTCACTATCTTGACCTATCTCTCAATAGGTTGAGTGGAACAATTCCTCAATGTCTAGGAAATGCTTCTATGCTTTCACTCTTGAACCTTGAAATGAATAATTTCAGTGGTAACGTCCCCACAATAACTGCATATAGCTACATGCATTACCTTAACCTTAACGACAATAAGTTGGAGGGATCATTACCACCTACTTTGGTTAATTGTAGTTATTTGGAAGTTCTGAATGTTGGGAACAACATGATAAATGATACTTTTCCTCATTGGTTAGCAAAGCTTCCAAAACTTCAAGTTCTAATATTGAGATCTAATAGATTTCATGGTTCCATTGGAATATCAATGGGAAGATTATCATTTCCTAAGCTACGAATAATTGATATCTCTCACAATCATTTCACAGGTGCTTTGCCAACAAGATTTTATGAGAAATTTAATATGATGGGCGGGGAAATTTTGAAAGGTGAATTAAAATATCTAGAACTACTAGACAATCGAGGGGCTCCGCAAAACTGCCGGCTTAGGCCGAGTTATGTTTTATATTATTCAATTGTTTTAACAATGAAAGGTGTTGATAGAGAAATAGATAGAATTCTAAACATTTTCACAATGATGGATTTGTCAAACAACCAATTTGAAGGACAAATTCCAAAAGCTATTGGAAAGCTTAATTACCTCCAGGGTCTCAACCTTTCTCATAATAATCTTACAGGTCATATTCCACCATTATTGGAAAATTTGACTCAACTTGAATCATTAGACTTCTCCTTCAACAACTTTGTTGGAAAGATTCCTAATCAGCTGACAAATCTATCATTTCTTTCCGTGTTGAACCTTTCATACAACCAACTTGTCGGATCCATACCTCAAGGAAATCAATTTTATACATTTCAAAATGACTCTTATATTGGAAACTTTGGGTTGTGTGGATCCCCATTGTCAAGGAAGTGTATTCGTGATGAGCCACCATCTCCAGTGCCATCAATCTACCATGAAGAAGATGATGAGTCAAGCTGGTTTGATTGGAAAATTGCCTTGATGGGTTATGGGTGTGGATTGGTGTTGGGCTTATCCATTGGATATATAGTATTCACAACAAGAAAACCGCAATGGTTCGTAAGGAAGATTGAAAGAGTAAGTCTGAGAAACATGAGGAAAGTTGAAAAAAGGTCTCCAAGAAGAAGAAATTAGTAAGTTCATATATTGCTATTTCATGTTTGAGTTTTTAATCTTCATCTTCTGTTGTTTTTAACCATTCTCATTATTATTCATTTTCTGATAGGAAAATTCCGCCTCCTTTCTCCAACAAAGGTAAACCCACTTGCAAAACTGGTTTTGGATTTTATATCCTTTTCTAGGTCACTGTTCTTGAAATTTCTCAACTTTTTACTTTTGAATTGGTCCTTCATGTTTGTTTTTTGAATTATAAGTTTAAGCCCACTTCCATAATTGATTTTCGATTCAGTTTGCTCTTTTGATCCTCTGTTTTATTTTACAATTCAACTCCAATCCGTGTCCTTTTTTTTGGTATTAGCATAGTTAATTTTCTTTAGTCAAAGTTAAATCAACTCTCTTGTCATCCATTCAATTACTATAATTTGATGAGGGGATGGTAGTAATGGGGTTATCTTCATTGCGTCATAAAAATTTTATCCATAAACATTTGGGGAAAAAAATTATATACGAACATATTACAACCCAAGAATGAAATTCTCCAATGCTTCGAGTTGGTTCGATAGGAAAATTGCGTTGATGGGTTACGGATGTGGATTGGTAATAGGCTTGTCTATGGGACATATTATGGGGGGGCATGGGCAATGGGTAGAACCAGAATCAGAGCCGGCTCAACGGGGTGTGTTTTGTAATTTTTATATCAAATATTATTTGACATATAAGGAATTGCAATCACAAAATTGGGGGAAAAAGGGAAAAAAGAGAGTTTGCGTCTCCACCCAATGTCCAGTATACGATTTGTTCTCAGCTCATGTTGTTGACCTTCTGTCGCTGTCCAATCTACCGTTCGATTTGTAAATAATTTATTCAATGATTTTACTTTTTAAGCTATTAATTGACTTTCTTGTGTTTATTTTGTAGAAATGATTGGACTTGACGAAGGAATATCCACGACAAATTTGGAGCATGAGACATGATGTTTTACTGATTGCATTTCACTATTTTGTTACTATGTAACTTATTTTATTTGAAATGATGAATGCTATTTATAATTTTCAGTTTGGGAACAGTAGTTGCAGGAGATGTGATTTTTTTAAGCAAACTGCAAGGTGTATGTGTGAATTTTGTGAACTACCAAGGGTGTACTTGTGATTTCTTCAGGGCATATTTGTCATTTTTAAAATAATAGGGGGCAATTTAAGTCTCCTATGTATTGGGGACCGGAATGGAACTTGCATTTCAGGTTTCAGTTCTGGTTCTGTTTCCTAGCAATTTCAGCAGGTACCCAGAACCACTCACCCTTAATTTTTATATTGTATTCGCAACAGGAAAACTACTATGGTTTGTAATGATGGTTGAAAGAGTAAGGTTTAGAAACATGAGAAGAGTGAACAGAAATCATCCAAGAAGAAGACATTAGAGAGTTAAATTTAGTGCTGCTCTCTCTATAAGGTGAGTCATCCAACTGTTATAGAATACATCTGTAGGTTTGTATTTAAGTAAAATTTCCAGAATGTTTTCAACATTCTCTTTCTTTTCAGAGCAAGGAGGATAGCCGCTTGTGTCTACATGGTCTAGTTATTATCTTCCAGCCATCGATTTTCTTCCACTCTCTCTGGAGAAGTAATTCATATTTTATTTTTGGGTTGTGAAATAATTCAAGTAGATGGTAAGCTAATATATTTTTCGAGCGCTTTAGATAATGCGGTTCTGTTGGAGTTACTAAGTGTTTTGCTTTTTATAAATGAATCACTAATAAAAATAATAAAATCACTCAGTTAAAATTTATTTGTCAGTTATTTTGGGTTGTGAAGTGCTCCTGTTGAAGTAGATGACAAGCTAATAGTCTTTTGCTCTATAAAATGGCATTGCTGAAATTACTAGTCATATTGATGAAGGCAAATGAGAATGCTGAACAGAAGATGCGAAGGAGAAGAAAATTAGGTGTGCTCCACTTTAATTTCCTGTAAGTCAGCTGTGCTATTTTTTTACAATTGTTTGTCCTGTAATGGTAATTATATTTACATCTTGAAAAGTCTATTAATTACAAATTGTTTAGACTGCATCATTATCCAAGTTAACTTCGAGTTCTTTTTTAGTTGAATATAAGGTTTTTCATACTCACTAGTGTTGCATACTGCTTCACTTTACTCCTTTCATCAGGTTTTGCAGATAAAAGTATCAAGGATACAACACACAGTTTATTGATAGAAGTTGGATGTAGAAATGGAGGCTTAAATAGAATAGTGCTGCAAGATTACGTTTATATTGACTTTGTCTCCGCATTCGGTTTAGATATCGTGTTTCGCTTTCCTATTTGTTCCCACGTCAAATTATATATCTTTAGGAAAAACTATTTAATAAAGAATATAAATGTATTATTAGGAATTGAAATATGAATTTCATTAGAAATAAAATGTCTCATATACTACTTATAATTATAGGGGTAAAAACCAATTCAATGTTATGAAAGAATGTGAGAACATAAGACATTTGAGGTAAAGGTTATTAAACGCCATGAGTAGGGTCTCTTAGAAACTATGTTAGTTTTTGCTCTAGGTATTGAGTTGACGTGGTTAGAAACTAGAATTTTTTTTGCTTTATTATGTACCGGGTTTATGGTGTTGTGTATTCTTGTATATCATGTTCATGAAACTATAGTGGAGTTCTCTCATCCGTGGATGTAGGTGGGTTATGCCGAACCACGTAAATATCGTGTCTCTTTGTGTGGTATGATGTTATTCCTATGTTATTAATCTCAAATGGATATTTTCCGCTCCGCAATCTCCTAACACATTCATCACGTTTTGAAACTTAAATTTGGACTCTTTTTGTGACATTTAGAGCCACCCAAATGGAAACACAATTTAACAAAATTAAGACATCTTCATATGATGGCCTGGTTCAATGGAAGTTGTTTCTTTAATGAATAACCAGATTCAAGGTTCAATTCCAAATTCCATGTTTGAACTTTCAAGCCTTACAGTACTTGACCTTTCATCCAACAACTTGATGAGTGGCATTGTGAAGTCAGACATGTTGTCCAAGCTCAAAAATCTCAGTATCACTAACCTTTCGCATAACCCCTTACTATCATTAGTAACTCACAAAGCCTACTTTACCTTGCCCAATCTTGAGGATTTCCATTTCTCTTCCTGCAACATAAGTGAATTCCCTAGTTTCTTAAGAACTCAAAAAAAATTTGGTGTCATTAGACCTTTCAAACTGTAAAATTCCTGGCCAGATTTCTCAAAGACAATTGGAATTTTTTCACAATTTGTACTATTTGAATCTCCCTCACAATATCCTGACAAGTTTCGTCCCTTCTGGAAATATTTCATTGATGAATCTATTAGCTCTGGACCTTCAATCCGACTTGCTCCAAGGCCCACTTTTGATGCTAGATGCGCCTAATATGGCCACCTTATTAGCTCTTGATAATATGCTTACGGAAGAGATCCCTTCATTAATTTGCGACTGGAGCTCTGTTGAAATTCTTGACTTGTCTAACAATAACTTGAGTGGAGGGTTCTTTCTTTAAGGACCCTTTAGTTTGTAAGTTTTGTTGTATCTTCCCTTTGTTTTGGGTATTTGTTGTATTGCCCAAAAGTTTGTAATGTTTTGGAGATAGTGGAGTTTTCTTTTGCAGCGCCCGAGGACGTAGGTTTCAATACCGAACCTCGTTAATTCTTGGTTTTCTTTATTTTTGCATTTAATTTTGGCTATTTATTTATGCTTTACTACTTGTTATTATTATATTCAATAGCTAGCGTTAGAGTTTATGTTTCCGTTGCATAACAGTAATTCCTCAATGTCTAGGGAACTCTGATACAATGTGGTGATTTATTACAATGTCTAGGGAACTCTAACACATTGGTGCCCTGAAACGGAGAGCCAGTATCTTACTTTTGATTTCAGTGGAAAATATTACAATGTGGTGATTGGCATGTGGTAAGAGGCAGAGGACTTCTCTGGATAATTAAACAGAGTAAAAAACAGGGGAACCAGGAGAATTATCAGAATACATCATTATTATTAATTTTTTATAATCTCTATAATCATGAGAATTTAACAACAGCCTCCATATATTTAACAAGCTTTAATTCTAACTAATAACTGAGTCTAACTAAGTCAGCTCTTTTAATCTTTAAAGTAGAGTTGAACCGGAACCTTCTTCAGTAGAGACTAAAAAGACTTTGCCAATATATTGTTATTAATTTCTTGTAACACCAGCGTTTGCAGCAACTAACTGGTGGAACTAATGATCCACTAACTCACTACCCAATCAATGAAATTCACCAGCACTCTTTGTCTCTTTGAAGGATGTAAGTAAATTACTGATCAGTAATAGGTCTTGCATCACTCATAAATGAAATTTTACGTGACAAGATATATCCAATAAAAAGGAAAAAAACCCAACCATACAGTAATTATACCAGAATCAAAATAGAATAAGTAATCTTAAATTTGAAAGAAAAAGAAAAAAAAATCAACAAATATCTAAAAAAATTATCAAATTTCTTGAAAATTCAGTAGAACGTAAATCTACTTCGAGCAGCAGGGTGTGATAGTATCATAATGAGATTAAAAAGGCAATAAATTCTCACTGTTTTGAGAAGGACGGCCGAGGTTTGCTAAGGCAGGACGGGACCTTTGAAGCTCTCTCAATTCATAGCCAAAAACGCTTGAGAGCTTCTCTTTGGCCGCATTAATCACAAAAGCAGGAAGATTACGCTGAGAATAGTTTTTCGTAACCAAGTGAACAAGCTCCTCTCTCTTAATCGGACATCCCGAGTTCTGATGCTTTTTGAAAATGACATAGCGTACCACTTCCGCCACGAGCTTCTCTATTTCCTACAGCAATGGCTTTTAATTCGTATCATAACAATGTACACTTATAGCAGAGTCTAATATCTATCAGCTTGCTCCGCAAGTTTGGCCAAGTAGACAAGGTTCTCTCCCTCTCCTTCTCCATCTCTCTCTCTCTCTCTCGTCTCTCTAAGCTCTGGTGATTTTTCTTTTGCTTTTGCGTAGTAACTGCTGTTGTTAGATATTGGTGAAGATTGAGGGTAACAGAGAGAGATGGACGTTTAAAAATGAGTTTTGGGGTTCCTGGAAGACTTTTGGTGCTTTAATTGAAAGGTGATATCTGAGCCGTGTTTTTATGGGTTTGAGAAATATGTAGCCGTTGGATGGAAATCGGTCACAGGGGTGATTACGCTGACTGGAAAGGCTAGACCACTGACGGTTGTTTTGATAGGAACATTGTAGGGGCGTTTGGTTCAACCACATTATATTATTAGAAATGTTATATTTATATTAATTAGATGATAATTATTTTGAAAAATACTAGAAATGTTATATAAAATGTATTTTATTAAATTGAAATAAATTGATAAATATGTTATATTAATATGTTTAGTTTAAAAGAATAAATTTGTGAGTATATTATATAGATTATTGAATTGTTATTTTTTTAATATTATTTATTATTATTATTTAGATTATTTATTTTAATCATATGTATTTGAGAATTTAGCTCAAACTCTTTCATAAAAAAAGTTTAAAAATTATCAAAAACACTCCAACCACCCAAAAGGACAGCTGACTGCCAGCCACCATCGCTAGCCAGTAGTAAAAAGCCGTCGAAACAACGCACGACTGGCTGTGAACAACGAAATCTAACAAAGATTTTTATATAAACTGATGGACAGAAAATAAATGAAAGAGTAAATATGATAAGTTTAATTTTTTGTATTTACTCTTCCAATCATTTTCCGTCACATCATTTTGTATATCAATCTTTGTAAGATTTCTTTATATGTCTAACATTATTGCTTGCATAAGAAGCTTTGTCAGGTTTATGTGGTACTTTCTTATTTTCTTATACATTTTAATGGTATTAATCTCACACCATACAAAGAGATACGATATTTACGTGGTTTGACATAATCCAACTATATCCAAAGATGAGAGAAATCTATTATAGTTTCTTGAACATGATATACAAAAGTATACAACACCATAAACCTGGTCTATAATTAACAGAGTCAAAACAATCCTAGTTTCTAACGATGCTCAATTCAATAACTAGATCAGAAACAATCTTATTTTCTAAAATATTTTACCCATTGTGTTTAATAACTCTTACATCAAATATCTTGTGTTTTAAAATTCTCTCATAACTAAGAATTGGTACTCACCCCTATATTTTTAGGTAGTATATAAGACATTCTATTACTTATAGGATTTATATTACAATTATTAATAAGACTCTCATAATTCTATTCTTATTTATAATTGCATATTTTATTAAATAGTTTTCTAAAGACTTACAATTTTACATTATAATAAATTGGAAAACGAGCCATATATCCCTACAAATTTATTGGTTAATTTTAAGAAAATATCCTTGATGAAATTACCACAATGTCTTGAAACTGTGAAAATAATTTAACTGTAAGTTCTCTGTATCCTAGTTAATAAATATGGTTTTATACTCGAATTTACGTATTTTATAAGGGCTGCCAAATTATACGGGCATAATATGGATATCTGTATAATTCGCGAATTATTGCAAAAAAAAAAAAAAAAACTGTCACCCCAAAATGACGCT